GGGTTTGATTCGATCAATGGAAATAGTCTCTCGTTTTCCATTCTTGTTCACGGTAAAGTGTTTGTCTGAACGTTTAATAACTTGAAAGGGTCCTTCGTATGGAGGTTGCAATCCTTTTCTGATGGCGTCGACTCGAATGAAGACGAATTTGCAAGTTTGTAGATGTTTGTTGATCTGATCTCGTCGGGGAGATTGTCGAGGTGCTGTTGGTTGAAGTTGAAGCATTTGTCTAGTTAATCGGTTAGTGAAGTCGGCAATGTTCACGTCTGTGGAATCGGCTGAGGGGACTAGCTGTCCAGGCAAGGTTAGGTTGGTGCCATAGACAAGTTGAGCCGGTGTACATCCTAAATCTTCTTTGATAGTAGATCGGATACCAAGTAAAATCAAAGGTAAGTATTCACTCCACTTAGATGTATCATTCTGCGCCATCAGGGAGCTTTTCAGTTGTCTGTGGAATCTTTCCACTAGACCATTCGCTGCCGGATGATAGGCTGTTGTGGAGATATGTTTCACTCCCAGAAGTCTCGTCAGTTCGCGAAAGAGTGTCGATTGGAATTGAGGACCGCGGTCGGATGTAATAGTAGTTGGTACACCGTAGTTTGACACCCAACGGTCGAGAAAAACTAAAGCAACGTTTTCAGCAGATATGTCGTTTAAGGGGCATGCAATAGCCCAACGAGTAAATCTATCAATCGCTGTCAGGATATGTGTATATCCCCTTGATGTTGGCAATGGTCCCACGATATCTATATGGATATGCTGAAATCTCCTTTCGGGTAATTTAAACGTCTTCGGGGTTGTAATAGTGTGGCGGTGTACTTTGGAGCATTGGCATTGGATACATTCTCGTGCCCATCTCCGAATGTCAGAGTTCATTTTAGGCCACACGAAGCGTTCGCTGATCAGCCTGACCGTGGCGCGTACTCCAGGGTGGGAAAGCGAATGTAAATGTTCGAACAATGCTTTTCGGCAACTGAGAGGGACAAATGGACGATTAGTGCCGGTAGATACATCGCAGACTATGGTTGCATCTGATAAGGGGATAGGCACATCTTTGAGTTGTAAGGAAGAGTTTCTGCGGCAGGTTTGGAGTTCAACGTCATCTCGTTGTAATTGAGCCATACGATCAAGACTGATGTCTACCGACGTTTGGAGCTGGTTAATGTCACTTCTTGAAAGAGAATCGGCTACCACGTTCGCATCCCCTTTGATGTACTGAATGTCGGTTGAAAATTGGGAGATATAATCCAACTGTCTGGCTTCTCTAGGGGAGTGTTTATCAAGTGAAGTAGTGAAAGCATGACACAGGGGCTTGTGGTCAGTAAAAATAGTGAAATGCCGGCCCTGTAGTAAGTAACTGAAATGCTTCACTGCAAGATATATGGCCAGCAATTCTCTCCCAAAAGTGCTGTATCGTGTCTGAGCCGGTTCCAACTTCTTAGAAAAGAATGCGAGTGGGGTGACTTCGCCCTTCATCTTTTGTTGTAATACTGCCCCTACAGCTACTTGGGAGGCATCTGTGCACAAAATAAGCGACGCTTCGGGGTTGATATGGGATAGCATAGTAACTCTGGATAAGGCATCTTTTGCGTTGCAAAATGATTCGCGTGCTTCAGCTGACCACTGAAACTTTTTAGGATCATTTTTAAGGAGGTCGGTTAACGGCTGGACGATGGAGGCACACGAAGGAATGAAACGCCGATAGAAATTAAACATCCCCAAAAAACGTCTGACCTTCTTGAGTGAATCTGGTTCGGGGAAGTTTTTGATGGACTCTATCTTTTCCTCCGTAGGCGTAATACCATTCGTGGTTATGTGGTGTCCCAGAAACTGTATAGAGGAGACACCGAATATGCACTTTTTGGGGTTAATGACGACTCCATATTGCTCAAATCGTTGAAATAAGATGGTGAGGTGATCAGTATGTTCTTCGGGCGACGAGCTAGCAATTAAAACGTCATCGATATATACAAATACAAAGTCCAAACCTTGTGTGACCTGATCCATGAAACGTTGGAAGGATTGTGCTGCGTTCTTTAGGCCAAATGGCATGCGGAGAAATTCAAACAAACCGAAAGGTGTGATGATGGCTGTTTTTTCGATATCCTCTTGGGCAACTGGTATTTGGTGATAGGCCCTGACCAAGTCTACTTTAGAAAAAATGGTTTTTCCGTGTAATGTCAGGGAGAAATCATGAAGATGAGGAATAGGATAACGGTCGGGAACTGTGGCATTGTTTAAATGTCGGTAATCCCCACATGGCCTCCAATCATGATCAGCTTTAGGCACCATGTGTAAGGGCGAAGACCAAGGACTATTGGAGGGTCTGATGATGCCGAGCTGCATCATGTGTTCAAATTCTGCCTTGGCTGCTGCCAATTTGTCCGGGGGTAATCTACGGGGACGAGCACGAACTGGTTGACCCGTAGTAACTATCTTGTGAGTAACTGTGTGAGGGACGTCCTCGATGTTGTACGACGGCTTAAGAATTTTAGGGAAACGGTGAAGTAGGGAGGAAAAAGGGCAATCTGCTGGTCTTTCAATACTGATATTATAGACAGAATAGCTGGAGATAATTCCATGGATCTTTAGATGGGTGTTGTTATCAATCAGTTTTTTATTGTTGACGTCAACTAACAGGTTGAAATTACTCAAGAAATCTGCTCCGAGGATGGCGTGACTGACGTCGGCTACTATGAAAATCCATGTGAAACGCCGACGTAAACCTAGATCCAGTATGAGCGATTGCTCTCCATACGTCTGTATGCTTGTGTGGTTAGCTGCCCGGAGAGACAGTTTTCCGGGTGTCCGTGTAGATCGCCTGGATAGTGAAGGAGGGATTACGCTAACTTCTGCTCCCGTGTCTACCAGGAATAAAGTGTCTGAAGTTTTATCCTTCACATAGAAGAGGCGACTTGTTTGCTTGCCAGTAACAGCTGTCGCCATCACTGTCTGGCTGAGGCGTTTCCCTGAGCCTGGTTGGCTTCGCTAAAGCTGCACGGTTTTACACATTTCAGGGCATGACGTCCAAACTTCCAGTGATACCAGCATATATTGCTATCCCGAGAAGACGTGTAAGAACGCTGTCGTGAGAAGGATCGTCGTCGTGATGGTGACCTTCTTTGTGAACTCCGTCTCCGGACTTGTCGATCAGACTTATTAGTTTCCAAATTGTCAATCCTTGCCGCTAAGTCTGCAATGGCGGCGAGTATCGGTGTGTCTGCCGTGGGTGTGGAATGACACGGTGTGGCACTATCAGATGCTACGTGACTTATGGTGTTATCGGATAAAACATCCAAAATACTATCTGCCATGTCACTTAGTTGGTCTAAGTCATACGACTTTCCTGAGATGATTAAAATTTGCTGGACATTTCTAGGTAAACGTTGCAACCACATCTGTTTCAGCACTACCTCGTCTACTTTATGATGTCCGATTAACTGGCGCATGTGCCTGAGCAGCTGGGATGGTTTACGTGGGCCTAGTTCACAGCCTGTGAGCAATTGTTGGATTCTTTTCTCATCCGACAAACTGGTACGTTGTATGAGGAGGGCTTTAAGTTTATCAAATTGATGTTCCGTCGGAGGATCTTCGATGAAATCGCTGATTTCTGTCAATACTGACGGAGGGAGTTCTGCCAGCACCATACCATATTTGGCTATTTGGGACTTAATGCCCCGTGCTTCTAGCAACGGTTCAATTACCGCAAACCAAATCCTTGGTTCTGCGAAACCGTATTGGGGTAAACGAAAATCAGTGATGGCATTTATTGTGGCATTTGTCTCGCTATTAGTTGTCTGCTCGTTTGATGTACCGGACTGAGGTGATGACATTATAATATGAGGTTATTGGTGCAAATTAGGATACAAATATAAACCACACACAAAATCACAATGAATATAAAAATAGCAAAAATAAGAATATAAATATGCCAAAATAATCCGTGTTCTTATCGGGCTCACCAATTAATTTGTAGGGGACTAATATTAGAGTTCACTAACATTCCAAGTATAAAAGTAATAATCCAAGTCAGTGGAGTGTTAAATCACAATATATTACCAAAAATACAGTGACGAGTTATAGCAACAAAAAGGATTACTTGGTTATAAAGTGTAAGTCCTCGGCTACAAATTAATTATATAATCCACAGGCACGTTAACTGTTTGGACTGCGTCTGCTGTAGCTGCTGTGTTCCGGTTGTAGAAATGTCTTCGGATGAAAGTAGTAGGCTCCTACAATAAATCCAAAGTTACAACACGGTGTGAGTGGAGCAAGTAAGTAGAGGTGACCAGGGAGAAGACGAAGTCTCCAACAGCAGAGTGTATTTTTTAATCGTACACGGAAATTATGTATATTTCAACAAGAAGCGATTTAAACAAAAATTATGTACAATATCTCGAATTTATACAAGTACCTAAAAAGTGTACAATCACATTGTTACGTACTCAACAAATGTGTGAGAGTTTGTGTCGCCTTAGGGTAAATTTGTATGAGTTGCCTACATACGGCCTACACGTAAGACCCTGAATTTATGTGTCAATTGTGTGATCAGGATGCTAGGATGGTGGCGTTTATGTCTTCTTCCCAGATGTTTGTCGAAGCTGAATATTATACTATATGTATACAGAAAAGTTGAGTGAAAGTTCGTGTGTACGTTAAAATCATGACTAATTTTTTAATTTTAAATTACAATACAGATGTTCAAACATCGCAAATCATCACAGTCTTACACACTCACCATTTTTCAGAAAAGCGCTGGTTAAATTTTTTTTCCCAGCACCACTTTTGTTGGGAAAATAATCACTCAATGTTCAGATTGTAGTTGAGTGACCCATGAAAACTTTCTGTTTGTACTTATTTAATAAATTGAACCGTTAATTGTCTCAGGTCTATTTTAATTGATTTTGTTTGTTTACTTAGCTTCCCTGAACTTTGCAAAGAGAACAATCAAGCGCGTTAGTTAATATTTTTTGTTGTTTTCCAAGTCAACTATTTGCAATATGCCTGAATCTCGTAAATTCTTTGTCGGTGGGAATTGGAAAATGAATGGTAGCCTTTCAGATAATGACAAGTTGATTCAAATTCTGTCTGAAGCTCAGTTTGGCGAAAATATAGGTTAGTTTTGCCGTCACGTCCGCAAAACATCTCCATATAGAAGTCTTGGTGGCCCCACCGTCTATCTATCTGCGTGAAGTCCGGGCTCGTTTGAAGAAAAATATACATGTTGCTGCTCAAAACTGCTACAAACTCCCAAAAGGCGCTTTTACTGGTGAAATTAGGTAAGTGAACTTTTCATGGTTCTTCTGTCGTGAATCTAGTTGAATACAACTGGCATAATAGTCTACTGTTGCATTATGTTTAACTTAACATATATACAGTCGAATGTTTCATTTTTATCAACTAGATACATAACATATTGTTATCAAAATTGTTATCAAAAAATCAAAATTTAAACTTATAAATTTCTTCGGTATTAAAGTTAATTCGAGTTCCTAATGAAAACGTTTACCTAAGGATTCTTATTTCAATCTTCTCCGATGTTGCTTACAGTGATGCACACTAGGACCTAGATAATCTTACTTCATTGCTGAAGACTTGAGTATTCTGTCAATCCGCTATGCATTATAATTTTGTGGGTGACACCTGTGAACCTTTATTGGGGGTTTTTTGAATGTTACACAGATTAGCATAAATTTCAGGATAATGTAATAATTTTGAAGGTGGTATCTTTCTTGCATATTTTGATAAAGTCTGTTGTTTTTGAAAAGTAGATGACCTTTGGAGTTTCCTCAGAGAATACGACATCCCCATTTCTGGTACATATATGCATATATTTATAACTTTATATTAACCTATGAACGACTGTATACGTCAAATTTTGCTTCTAATCTGGAATCAAGTATTAACTTATGACAACCTACTACAAATACTGGAGATACGGGGTCTAATTACTGCTTCACATTTAGTCAAATGCGTATCTAGATATTTTTGCATAATAGTTAAAGTAAAAGTATATTTTAGTTAGAACGAAACGTCCATTTACTTTTTCTTGCTCATTTTATGCTCATTACAAGTTACATATATTAATTTATGACACGTAAATTTCAAGGATTAAGGTAATTAAAACATATGTTATACATATACGAGTAACAAAAAATCACACTGACTATCCAGCAAGAAGTAGCATGGAGTACATCCTCTCATGGGTAGTATGAATGATTAAGTGCTTTTAAAGCTTGGGTCTTCTAAAAGTTGTGTAGGAGTGGTAGACAACTAAAAACGATGTCCTAAGATCCTTATGCCAGCTAAGTTTTTGGTTTCATGGTACTCTTTAGTTTACTACTACCCTTTTCATCACGAATGTCCGTTGTCTTTCAGTTTCATGTCTTTATATAGATGCTACATTATTTTATTCTGTCTTCTTTTGATAATTTCTGTTTTTAAGCCTGAACGAGATGTTTTTCAGTTATGCTATGTTTTTACGACTATTCTTACTTTTGTCTCCTTGTAGATAGAGAAAGCTAATATAACTGGGCTCTTAGCTTCCATTTAAGTAATGAGAAATTAAAAACCAGCGGTAAAGATTAGATTTTCTACAATGAAGAAAATATTTGCTGCTGAGAATATGACTATCACTCCTCCTGAACAAATTTTGAAATTGTAAGGTTTTGAATAATTATTGATGATAAAGGAAAATTGGTGAAAGTTTGATATGAATTTAATTCACCTTTAATTTTTTTAAACACTTCAGCCCCGCAATGATAAAAGATGTTGGTTGTGAATGGGTAATACTTGGTCATTCAGAAAGAAGAAACATTTTTGGCGAACCTGATGAGGTATATTTTATGATGTCTTTCTTCTTTACAGTAAAATAGTTTCTAAATTATTGCTTTAAAAATTTGCGCCAAAATTCTTTAAATATTCAATAACATGTATAAATAAATATTTCTTATCCCGTATGATAGCATTTTCAATTATTTTTACGAAAGCATAAACGGTAGCTTTCATTAAGACAGTCTCACGACTTTTCTTGTGGTGTTTAATGGTTCGTTATCAGCTTTTGTTAAGCAGAAGTTAAAACCATTATACAGGCACTGAAACCGTTTAACCTGTCAAAAGGTTTTTTAGAAAAGTGATTACATGAAAAAAGTAAGGTATTTGAACTCTTCAAGAGAGAATACATAAAAACGGTTGTTACCGGTGACAATATGGAGTTTTCTGTGAAGTTTTGTGTGAAGTTTAGCATATTTGTAGGTTTTCTCCACGGGGTTACCACTGTAACTCGTTATGTGATCTGGGATTCATTGATAACATTCAGACATCAGATCTGGGTGGTCGCTCGACGGAGTTCTGACCCTGTAATCAAAACATCACTAGCTGGGATCTTTATTCAGCCAAATTTTTCATCCCATCATTGACTGTAGACACTGCACAATTGCTTTATTTTTGTGGATGACTAGTTTGCTTTTACGTTTGTATGAAGCGGAATAATAAGATAAATGATACTGTTTGAAGAAACAGCCTTTTTATTATACAGTAATTAGTGTTCAATAAAGAAGTTAACATTTAGTGTTCTTCTCTGGTAAATTATTTTCATTCTGAAGAACCAAGCAGGAGAAAGAAACTTGTTCAGTTATATTAATCAAATAATAAAAAAAGCTATATTTCACCATTTTATGTGTCTACTATGCTAGTGTGTATTTGTTGCATATTTTTTCAATAGCTTATTGCCGAAAAAGTTCAACACGCCATTGCAGAAGGCTTAAGCGTCATTGCATGCATTGGTGAAACATTATCAGAACGTGAAGCTAATAAAACAGAAGAAGTATGTGTAAGACAGTTGAAAGCAATCGCAAGTGAGTTTATTTTGATTGCTGTGACTACTTAAATGTCAAGGAAATGCTGTTATGATTATATAGAAATGACTTACAGAAACCTCTCAAGTGAATTTTTTTTCAAGTATCGTAAATTAAGATGCAATAACTGCATGTATATATATATATACAGTGAGTTCTCCCACCAAAATATTTTATAAACTATGCGACAAAAGACTCGTAGGATACTTCGAGGGTGGAAGCATTATTTTATCAAAAAGATACGGCACAACATAGAGGTGCTCCAATGAAAAGACATGAAAAGTAAAGTCCCAGAGAATTAAACGGTAATCATTACAATTGATTAGGGAAAAACAGAATTACTCTTGAGATATTTTGCTTGACTATCTTTAAGAAATATACTCTCGAAAATGATGCGATTAATGGAAATGTGTGGACCACAAACACAAAATTACAAGTTAGTTATATCTTTTAATAATATTGTGCGTCGGTGGCACAGCAGTTAGGACTTCCGCCGACTATGCACATGGTCCGGGGTTCGATCCCCTACCGACGCACACCTAATATCCGTGGTCGAACTGCGAAATTTTGGCTACCGATATTACTTGCTAAAAATTTCATACTTGTACCAAAAGGGCTGTGTGGAATAAAGCCATAGTCAAAATAAAATATAAATATATAGATTAATTTTAAAAGAAGGACACAGGGCATTGACCATTAGAGTCTCACTTGCCTACTGATTAATAATTTTATTTCCCTATTAAGCATGCTTAGCTTACTAAAATAATATAACCCATATCGAAATAGCATTTAGTCAGTCTTCTGTTGTCGATGACATTCTTTCTTAAAAACCCAGAAATTTCTTATCATAAAAGACTAATATTATTTCGAATTTCTAATACATATTTTCATTACTGTTCTAATGTCACACAGTTTTTTGTCAAATACTTTTCCTAATAACATGTCTACCAAGTGTTGGTTGACTGGTTACAGGATTTCATCATGAGCTGACATCAAATCCCTACAAACCAACAGCTGAATAACAATGAGATGCACACTAGTGACTTGCCCTATTCAGGTAGGTAGTTACCTGGGGTTTTAGTGAGAAATCGTGACCAGTAGGGTGCAGCGGGTCGGGTGTGAGGACAAATACTCGCCAAAGACATTGGCTGGGTCGCGCTATGTCATGAATTGGCAAAAGTTAGAATTCGTGGGCCATTGGATCGGGACCCAGTGGCTTAATGGTATACGAGCTCGCCTTGTAACCAGAAGGTCCTGAGTTCGAACCCCGTGGTGTGGGTGCGTACTGTGAAGAGTCCCAAACTACGACGAAACAGCTGTCCAGTACTCCCAGGTTTTCCAATAGTTCTCTAACTAATGTCAGCTCATGATGAAATCCTGTAACATGTCTATCAAGTTAATTTTGGTTTACGGAGACTAGTAGAGGGGTCAAGGATGTGCGTTTCATCCTGTTTGGGGCTCGTCAGCTTGATACACCAGGAGTTCCTATTGGGAATCAAACGGTTCAACCGTCGTTTCGAACACCAAAGCATAACCCCTTAGGCCCCTAGAGTTCGAGTCTCAGTGAGAACACCATCACTCACCGGGAAAAATCCTGATGATCAGTCCCAAATAGGACGAAGTGTACATCCTAGATTCCACTGCTATACACCACCAACCAAAATAGCCTCAAGTTTGTGCTCGAAACGTCATCACTTAATATTACTGTACAACACTGTGTAATTTATCAAAATAAAATCTTATCCATAATGGAGTTATACCCTACCACAATGCCTAAGTTTGTATCGTCAAAGTGTCTGCATGAGCAGCTTACGTGTCAACAGAGGCTGACCATTTTGGTTCAGCGAAATGATCAATCAGCGGGAAATTCAAAATTAACCTAAAAGCATTCATGTTTATTAAATTTATCCTTCTTCTCTAACTCTTCTCCACTGTGTGTTTTTAAAGTAATAAGATTAAAAATCGATTCACTTTTGCTTCAAGCTTCACCTCATTCTAACCACTTAATTCTGTGAACTTAATCACAGCTATTATTCTTATATAAAAGTAAAAATAAAAGGTTATTCTGTATATTTTCCAATGAAAGTATTATAAGAGTATAGAGCAATATTCAAGGAAAAAAACTGGAACGTATTCATAGTTAAATAATATCGCATTGAAGTGAATAGTTGAGTGAACATAGGAAGCTATTTTGATCATTCTGAAGGTATGCGTTTATACACTTCTATCCCTTAATAACTAATATAGTCAGGTTTTTTTCTGTTAAGCTGCATTTTATTAAAATTTACTTGATTATTTGAGAGCAAGTAGTGTTGAACAGTCGTACATCTTTGTAATTCGGGACACCACAACGATATCTACCTAGTCACTTTTGTAAGAGCATAACATAATAGTATTTGGTAGAGGAGGTGTACGTTTATCAGATGATCTGCAGTGACGGCAAAAAACCTTATTCTGAAATTTCAACCTGCAAAAGTTATTCATATTTCGTTTCTGTTGTCCTACTTCTACGCTTTTTGCATTGTTTCATAAATATCTTTCATTTCTGCTCTTCTTAAATTATTCCGTTTCTGTACTATTGGAGATTCTCTCAGAAGAAATCATACACAGAATACTACTTAAGAACACTTGTCAGTAGTACAGGCTACACGCCTTCCTCCGTCAAAATCTCGCGAGTCTAGTCACGCCAACCCTGTTTGCGCTTACCAACCTTAATGTATCTTCGTGAAGACTTCTTCATCCCACTGTATTCATCTCTGAATGTCTCTGACATTAACACGTTTTGGCAGTGTAAACAGGAACATATCTCTCAGTGACAGTGTATTGGTTCCTTTCACTATAAAGACAGTTTCTGGGACCCCGACAGACTCCTAATGAGTGTACTTTTTTACTACACCTAACCTGATCCTTGACTTAAAACTTTATGGATCTTTTTTGTCTCTGTTGGAAGTTCACTGAGTCAACCTTTTTTATTTTTGAAATTTCTGATGGCGTTTTCCCTTTCAGTATCCCTTCTGCACATACTTGACTGCTGAGAGTGAAGCTAGGTCTTATTTTGTACTGTAAGTCGTGGTTTCCCATCATAAATCAGCTGAAATAACAACTTCTTTGTTGTTCATCTGATGGTCAAGTAGAAACAATGAAAGCTCTGTCTCCCAGTGAATTTCATTTCAAGAACGGGCACTTCTTCAGTGCTCGGCTATTTTTGCCTATCAAATTATGAGTTTCTGGATGAAATGACAGTGTTTTAATTCTCCTAGTGCCTGGTTGCAGCATGTGGAATGCTAATTCTTTACTTTCAAGACAAGGGCTTTCCATTGTGATTACAGATGGGCAAATATGAAATTCATTTACTGACTGATGATTTCAAATGGGAATGGTGACGTGTTAAACAAACTTTAATATATTATATATATGCATATGACATTACAAAATACTCATAAACTAACCGCAAATATCATTAAATAAAGAAGACAATTCACTCAGAACTTCAACTTTTTTGACAAGCATAAATAAATAACTATTTGTGATTCTTTTGAATCATTCTATTGTATTTCGTTTAACTTTTAGACAAAATAAAGTCTGCTGATGAATGGCAAAGAATAGTTGTTGCCTATGAACCTGTATGGGCTATTGGTACAGGTAAAGTTGCCACACCTACACAAGCACAAGAAGTTCATAATTTTCTAAGAAAATGGTTAAAATCTAATGCACCAGCTGGTGTTGATGAAAAATTACGCATTATATACGGTGGTAAGTTAATCTTACATTGAATTTACTGGCTAGTTTTTTATGAGTGACTAGATTACATAACTGAAATAAAACTGAAATTTCTTGGTAGTTTAGTTAGGAGGAAACGTCACAGTGATAATCCAGTGAACATTTATTTGGAACCTTCTAACTATCAAGCTTTCTCAACTGTAGTTATTATCCAAATGATTTGCTTTTATCTCACTAACAACTTTAAAGCCACTTCGCGTTACTCGTGTGTATTTCTATTAATATTAGATCCCTAGTGAAACATAGGGCTTCAGCATCACATCACCATACCACTCTGTTCTCCAGTATCTTTTTTAGCTGGCTACATGAATACCTACAAAATTTCATTTTCTCTTGCTTACATTATCTTTTCCGCGTCACCCATGAACTCACGCCCAACTCATCGCTTCTCATTTGGGTTCCACTTGAAGGTGTGTCTAGTTTAAGATGTCACTTGAATGTCTCTTCAGCGTGTATGTCCATTCCACCCCCCCCCAGTTTTTTCTGCATTCTTGGCTGGTTGGCTTCCCATCAGAGTCATTTGTTGATTATTCCATGTTAATTTCTTTAGTAGATATCTCACACAATGAAACAGTATTATTTACTACATGACGGCGTTTCGAAGACAACTTGCTGTTCATAATCATATCATCAAATATAACCACACAACTTTGAAACTTTCGTTTTATAGTTTTCTTTATTCTTTCCTATTTGTCGTATGTGTAGAGGACTTTTCCAGATGTCCGAGTGGACAGGTGCTGAATCATTCTTATTACATGTATTTGCAGTTGATTCGAAAGAAAAGCTTCTATTATCAGTCTCTCACTCCACCCTCTTATATTAGATTTTAGAACTGTCATCTTATCTTTTTGTATAATTGTGTGTAATTGCATGTAGGGAGTGGTATAGCTGAACTATTCGTCAGATTTCTTATCCTATTAGGGTCAAATAATCTAGATTTCACCAAATCATCTATAAAACGATAATCAGTTTATGGGAATATTCTTCCTTGAAAATGAACACTATTCAGATAATGACGGTGATTTTGACAACCTGAATAGTTATTTCATTTTAGATTAAAGACTTAAACATTATCGTGATAGATGATGATTAAAAGTATCTGCCATGCAAAAATATTTAATTTACTTAAAAATCCATTAACACATTTACAAATGATGTATGTTTGCATAATCGTGAATGAACATTTTGTTCAGGCATGAGTTTATGGGGATTTGATGGTAGCAATACATCACAAGCCGACAAAGTTGAACTTCACATGTCACTGAATTCTGACTTAAGTAGTTGAATGTCCTGGTAACCTGAAGGCATTAGGTTAGATCCCGAGTGTGGTGATGAGTGCTTACTGTCAAATGGTCCCCAACTAGGATCGAATTGTTGGCCAGAACTAACCTGGTTTTCAGTGATTCTCTAACTGATATGAGTTCGTAACGAAATGGGTTGTCATCACTATATAGAATCCTCAGATCTTTAAGCGAGCATAATTCTGTTGTTACTTATGTGGACAGATATCTTTTATAATATCAAATAATTTGTGGCGAATCGTTTTGAAAGGTGAGGAAAAACAAAGCTGTGCATATTGAAGTACAAAAATTCTGACTGTTCTTTTCAATGTGAACGAATATTGTAACGGTAGAAGACAAGGACCAGGCAACAGATCGTTTATTGAGAAAATCAACAGATATTTATAGATTTTATGTGCATTATTATTAGTGTTATTGTCAGCAGAGAAGCAGCGTATTCTGATTCGCTGTTTTCCTGCTGAAGGTTATTATGTACTGCTTGTAATCGTTTCTTAGAAAGTTAAGCCATATATCTGCGAATCGTATTTGCACATATTAAGTCTGCTGTGATTGGTTGGTGAGTTCCTGAAGGTTAAGCTTTGTTCTTGTTTTTTATCATGACCCCGATTTGGAGTGTAAACGTTGACGTAAGTTGTTGTCTACAAATTTGGCTTGTAGACGACTGTCACCACAATATGATGGCGCACTGGCTTAGACTCTTAATTTTACTCTACACAATCCTGGGTTCGAGTCTCATTCTAGCTAACTCAACCTGGAAAAGGGAATGTTGTTATCAGGTGACACACATGTATACACAGTGCGTAGGACACATAATCTGGTAAATAGAGAATCTGTTCAACAATATTGGAAATCTAACTAATTAAATAACTAGTAACAAGGCAAATTGAAGATGCCTAGTTGCATGTTACTTTCCTTTCGACAACTTTTTCCTTAAATATTTGGCAGTTCTTGAGTTTTAAAAACAGTGTTTCCTAATAAATTAATGCAAAAGTTCCTATGATTAAAATAGTTCAGTTCAGTTATTTTTTTATCTAAACAACAGGTGTGTATATGCTTTGACCTAATGATGCTAACCGCCATGCTTGTAAGACATCAGCAGACATCAATAACTTCATTTGTAAAAAAGAAAATGCATAGAGTTACACAAATACGTAAAATTCTTTCAAATACAGAATATATTTTATTTTATATTGTTGACAAACAAATATGCACTCACTCACTCACTCATTGGTGAATGTAAATGCATTTTTTGCTTGTTTTTTTATATTTTTCGCTACCATTTCAGGCTCAGTGACTGCTGCTAATTGTAAAGAATTAGCTCAACAACCTGATGTCGATGGATTTTTAGTCGGTGGTGCTTCATTGAAACCAGAATTTATCGACATTTGTAAGGCTAGATAATAATAATAATAGTAATTATCATGAAAAGAATTAGAACATTGGATCATTTGTGGGTGGGTATTCCTAGCGTTGTTATTGTCCTTATTGTAGTTGCTTAATTTTTAATTTTAATTTTCTAATATCAGTTAATTTCTTCTTTTTATTTTCACTGATTTTCATCTTTATCTCTATCTTTATTTCATTTTTACTTACCAAAGATAATGTAATAATATAGTAGTATTGTTTGAATGAAAATGTGTGTGAAATACCAGTACTTACTTCCTTGCTTAACTTAACCTCTCAGTGAAAATGGATCCATTTGAACTTAATATTATTATTATTATTATTATAATTTCTGACTTGTACTTAAATGTTTTTCTTTTATAATTACAAACAGTTAATCATACTGTAATTTTTTTCCTTGTTCACCTTCCATCTGGAGGTGGAAGTACGTTTTTGGCTGTTACTTCCTAGGTTATTCACTCTGTGGAAGTTGACTTCTTCATAGACTATTTGAAACAAAAGGAGAATTAGTACTGAGTACCTGCAGAACCAAGGGGACAAGTGCTTGAGGCCAGTCACACGAACACAAACACGGCCTGTTTGAAGGGATTTTTGGAGTTGTATTTGTATGAATGATTCACTGTCGGCTACGGAGCAACGCAGGATAAGTCAGAGTTTACAATTTTCGTGTCAATGTTTTCTGAACCCCACTCCACCCAGAGTGGACAAACAGCGTAGTTGGATTTCTGAACATTTGAAGGAAATACCCTATTGCTGTTACAACCCTATTTACTAGCAGTAACACTGCATCAACAGACTCCTGAACTGAGTGCCAACAACTTACACTGTGATGGTGATTACTTTTAGTTTGACCGCTTCTCAAACGAGATTTCTGGTGTGGTGGGACCTATAGTTCTAGACAGTGAATCTCACTGTTGCATGCAAGTCTGATTACCGCGTCGGTTGGGCGCCTTTCATTAACTAGAAGACTGACATTAAAGTTGTCAGTCCTTTCCTATTCCTTTGGTTTTGTATGGAACATAGGGCTTAAAGCCTGAGCTTTGAAGTTTCAAGAGCGGTGGTGTTGTTTCTTTTTTACTGGATAGAATTACTCACCTTATTTATTTTCTGTGTTTGTTAGTGGCTTCGCGAGGTTTAGGAATGTATCGACCGGGAATCGAACCCTCACTTCCTACATGTCTGGCAAGCTATTCTACCATTGAACCACCGATGCACGTGTTTATTCGATTCACATGTCAAACGCTTACTTTAATCGAAACAGTCATACAGAATTGTTTAATTTTATTTACATCCAATTGTTAAGTGGCAAACAGGAGGAAACGTGCATAATCGATTCCACTGCTTGTCAGCATCAACTAAGTGACTCTATGCAGCATGTTTATCAATTTAAACACAATAAATGCTTGTCTCATGTTTCAGTTTATTGAGTTAAATCATCTTTTTTCTGTTGATAGAAATTATCACAATACTGTGTTTCACTACAATTAATAGATTATATTAGACAATCAGTAGATTAAATCCAATCAGAGCTTTATGAGACGAATACTAATCTTGCTTATCTTAACTGGCAAGTAACTCGCCTTAACTTATTGTAATGAAAATAAATTTCTCTGTCGCTTCGTTTCATTCCAAGATAGAATTTAAGTAAGATATCTTTGCATATATATATATATATATATATATATGTAACAACAGAAGACAAGGGCTGGCAACAGATCGTTTTATTACGAAAATCAACACGTATTTATATATATTTTATGTACATTAATAAGGCTTATGCAAGCAGAAAAAAGCAATCTTCTGATTGGTTGTTTCTCGGAAGTTAAGCAGACAAACACAGTCTTATGATTGGTTGTTTTCGATATTTCTCGGAAAGTAGAGCCATCTATCTGCGAATCATATTTGTCCACGTTTAAGTTTGCTGTGATTGGTTGTTGAAACAGCCTTGTTCATATTTTCTCACGACCCATATTAGTGACCTAGACATTAACGTAGATTAGTGCCAACCAATCGGCTAGCAGCCTGCTCTCACCATATATATATATATATATATATGTTCTGCTAGCATCTCTTCACTGATTAGTTCAGTCTAGGCTATAATAATGAATCATTAAATTGTATCTTATCTAAGGATTATTTCTAATTTGACTGGACACAACATTGTAACTAATGTCTTGCGTCCAGTCCTTCGTTTGGGGCAAACTAAATTCAAACAACAATTTACACTGCACCTAGTGACCAATCAACGTATCCGTTACTGTTTCACAATAGGTCAGTCGCTAGCCTGATTAGCTCAATGGTAAAGCCTCTGACTGCATCAGTGGCTGGCCCCAGTTCGAGTCTCAGAAGCGACAGAAGCAAATATACCTTACTGACTACGGAGTGCCAACTAGCTTGAAACTTATGTAGAAGGCTTCTTACGGAATGCCTCCAACCATCTGCCAAGGATTATTTCCCTATACTTCCAGTAAATAAAACCCCCTGTAAACAGATAAATGGATGTAAAAGTGGGACTGTAATTCGTTTTCTTTTATAATCAAAATGACACCTTAAGTTACCATAAGATGCTGTAGTATTTAAATCAGAATGCAATCAGTATAAATGCTCTAAAGGCGAATAATTCCCACCAACTAGATATCATATGATAATTGGCTAGGTGGTCAGTAAACGTTGTCACACTGTGATCATTTTATTTCAATTTCGACTGAAACAAATTACTTAAGATGGTATAATTTAATAGTAATCAAATAAGAATGGAAAACTAAAGCCTTTTTTCTTATCAAGTGATTGTCCATGTGATAAAAGTGAATATTTTGAGAGAATTTCGCGTTTTTTTTCAATCTACCTATCTACTGTATATAACTAACTAGTGAACAAACACCTGAAGTTTAAATATTCAGTGAGTACTTTTAGTCAAGAGATTCATTTAAACAATATAAATTGATACAAACAATGAGAGAGACTCATAATCACTTGATGAATGAGTTTCCTATTGGTGATAAAATGATCTGAATTATGATTATTTTTACATATTATTCGTTTCTTGTCTTCTGAGTAAAACATAGAAAAGGTTTCATAGCCACATCTTCATTCCACCGTCTTCTCAGTCATCTCTACGACTGCTTACAAGCTTTTATTTCCTCTTGGTCACATGGTATTCTCCATAGCAATCTCAGAAATTACACTACACTTATTATTATCATCCCGTATATAATCCAATTCTGCATGACTTTCTCCAATAACCTGCATAACTTTGTTCTAAAGAATTCAACCACAATATTAAGTGCACTGGATGAAATGTTAGAAAACATTCATCCAGACATCTATAAAAAACAAAATAATTGAGCAAAGAATGTTCTTTTTAATAATTTCCCGTTCTGGTTCTATGATTATATGTATGCTTATATACATAGAATATTCTAGATAAGTAGTCAGTAACAATCTTAGTGTTTTTTAAATAATATCGATTTGTTATGTAAGATTAGTAGAAATACAATCCATTAAAGATGCATAAATCATAATAATAATAATAAAGATAAAATAGCAAATAGAATATCAACCAAAATTAAGGAAATTTCCACAAATAATTGAGGATCATTTGACCCTAGGTGGCCAAGGTAAGGACAATGACTTAACTAGCTTCTTTTAGACACATAAATCAGGCTTCTTAATGTGGATCCCAACGGCCTCAGCAATATTTAGTAAACGAACTCTTAAGGTGAAGTTAAGATTTGTTGGTACGCGGTAGATGACTTTGAAAGCCTGGTTGACATCAATCTTGTGTTTTGTATCCACAAGATGAGATAGAATAGCGCTACGAATAGATTTTGTGTGGTCCTTTACTTAATCACGCAGAACGATGTTCGGAAGTCCGATGAGAAACATGACTAGTTGTATGGCCTATGTAACTGGCTCCACAGGAGTAGTTGAATCGGTAGATACACACAGAAGAGGCGAAATTAGGCAGTTTATCTTTTACTACCGAACGAACAAGAGGAGTAGTTTTGAAAACGCAGTGTAATTTGGCAGCAGGGAATGCTCTTTTTTCCGCATTTCTATGGCGCTGTATTAGTATTTTGCTGAACTGCATTTTTAAGGATAAGGCCCCTTTAGGAACTGTTGGTGCATTTGGCTGCTTTGATATTAGATTCATACTTTTATCAATAAAATTTTCTGGATAACCATTTTCACTCAGCAACCGTTTAATATTATTAAGTTCCTTCTCAAGACATTCATCCGAGCAGATTGCTTTTGCTCTGTGAGCCAGGAACTTTATCAGATTGCGTTTGTATTTTAAAGGCACGAAGCTGAAAAAATGAGTATACTGAGCAGTTGATGAAGGTTTTCTGTATACACTCCTTTTTATTGTGCCATCTTTTTTTCTGGTCATAAGGAGTGTAAATTTTGTCACTAATCAGTATGACTCAAAGGATCGTTGCGAACCAAGAAATGCTGGACAGATCTGCTTTTCACAGATTGGGACTTTTAATGAGTCTGTATACAAGAACCCCTGACGTATCTGAAGCAGTTTTATTAGTGGCTATTGGATGGATTTCCTGATGTTCTAGTGGCAAGAATTAGCTGGTAAGGTCCATGATGTCAGGTTTGAAACGTGTGCTTATCGACGGCACTAGTTGATGACAGTACTGCATCACGAATGGACACAATTTAAAATTCCCACGTTACTGAATTCCAACCAACTGATTGAACTATTAACCGGTGGGAACCGTAGCATGAGGACTATCGGAGCATACAATTGAAGAGTCTGTATAGTGTCTTTGCCTAACTCATATCGGTTTATGAAGAAATCTGCACAAAATCAAAAATCTAAAGTGAGAGTTCACTCAAAGCTTCAAATAAACTTTGTTGATTAATTTCAACAATTAAGAAATATAATATCTAAGTTTTCCTTTCATTCAGTTTCTTTTACATTTAACGCTAACATGAACACACAAATATTTTTCCCCAGCCAGAAAGAGATTATTTCTAGACCAGAC